CACTGCCATGTTTGTAATGACTTATCGCGAGAACAAACGTATTCACGTGACTTTAATAGCATTTCTTACTTAATGGAAACACCGCAGTTGCAAAACTGTGTTTTTTCGACATTAACAGAATATCAACAAAGTTTTGCGCACATTTGCAATGGAAACACAGCTAGAGTGACACATATTACTTTTTCTTCTCTTATTTGTACATGAAGAATCAGAAATGTCAAATTTATCCTCTGACCAGTGATCAGTTTGGGCCAATCCTGCTTCCAGAAATCAAAGATCAGAGCACATACACAAAATAAAAATAAAATCCAGTTAAAAGTCATGTTTAAACCAAAGCTGCTGAAGCGTCTTACCTCCGATGGCTTCTTGTGCTGATGGTGGACCCATGTACTGCTGGTGCCTATATTCTTGGACGACCTGGACCACGATGTCACTTGACCTGCAGCAGAGTTAGTAAATTAATTATTTTCACAAAGAATAGACACTGTGCCATTTATCTGCTTGTTTTGTTAAACACTTTGAGTTTTGTCTGTTTTTAATAAAGTTCTGTAAACAAGGTTGGGCTCAGTTGAGCCTTAAGGTGGAATTCTGACATCATGAGAAGCATCTGCTTAAATTTACACAAAAAGAGACAAATGTCCTACTAGAGAAGAAGATCTTTCGCAGAAAATATGCAAGTCTAATAAAAACATGAATCAGAATCATGAAGTGTGGAATCTGTTAGCTATTAAAGAGCAAAAGCTATGCAACATGTTATTAAATCAGCACTAGACAATGACCAYGGATTTTATAATTTACAACAGATGTGAAGTAAACACAAGTAAGAGGCTAAAAATGAAAGCAGCCACTCAAAAACCTCAGTTCCAGCTCCACACGGCTGCCGCACTCAGTCAGACCTTTAGTTAAAAGCGACTGCTGACGATCCATGAAGAGGTTAATTAGTTAATGAYGATATAAATAACATCTTGTTAAGCGTTTATTCCACTGTTGTCCATTACAAGCTCATTATTACACAACTTCATCGTAATTAACCAGACCGTGAAGCCAATATCCCACCCACCGCTTCAATCAACAACTCCAAGAGGGCTTTTCTGTGCATTTACACAGCACATATGAATTGAAAGCTTATTAGCATGAATGCATTATGAATAAAGCCGTCAGTAAAACGTCGCATTGGACAATGAAATGGCAAAAGTGGAAAACCACAAAACTGCCTGAGTGGCATGTTAAAACCTGCCTTCATGTGAGCGTGAACGTGTTGCCTCCCACTCAACATATTTCCCTTTGGGACACAACAGTGCTGCCACCACACTGTCATTACTCAGCAACTAACTGAGCTGAAGGAAGAACTGCTGCCATGCTGCTCTTTAAAAATAACTGATTCCTTCTCTTGAATTCAGACAGCTCAAACCACTTTTCATTAAAAGCATTCAATACGGTTGTGTATTTGCCAATTATTGATGCATATTTCCACATACTTTCCAGGGGTAGACATAAGGATTTTTTTCAGGTTGTTGACAAAATCTGGTTGTCCGCAAAACATTTTGGTTGTCCAAAAAAAAATCTCAATAAAAATGTAATTTAATAGGTAGGCTATATTGTTCCGTATACGAAGTTTATTGTATATAAATGTTCTCAGTCAGCAGGTTAACAGTTTCAGGAGCTGCTTGAGTAAAACTCCTCCTCCTCTTCTTTGAAATAGAGAGCAAAAATCAACATCCAACAACCATAAGCTTCCTGCTTACAGGACAAACATTTGAATTTAAATAGTAGTATAGCCTACTGTCTACATGACCTTATTAAAGCTACAGTTTAGTGTTCTTAGGACTGAAGACTTTCTGGATAAAAGGGATTTAAACAGCTCTTCTGTCATTTTAGTGTTTTCAACTGAGGAGCTTTGACGTATTTATTTTAAAAGAATTATAGCACAAGAAGTTTTCTGCATAGAAAAAACTATTTATTTTTTACTGTTTTTTTTAACCAAACTGACAAGTTTCTCCACTATAATTGTTGTGTAATGTAAATGCATTGAAACACCTGGTTAAATTTAGAAGATATTAAGATATTATGATTAACTACAAGCACCTGAAGCTGACTCAGAGAACTCTGTGATTTTAGAAAACAATCAAAGTCAAACGTAGACACGGCACATCGATCCACATCAATATGTTGATTCAATGATAGTGATTTAATTACATGGGAGCAAAATGAAAAATTTTGATCCATATCGTCATCATATGATGTGGATCAGTATCAATCATTTACATTAGATGGGCATATGTTATTGCAGTGGTTCCCAAACTTTTTATCTTCTGACCCACAAAATATCCATGGCAAAAACTTGTGACCCCAAATATTACTGGTCTGAGTACACAAACTTTGTTAATAACCCTAAAAACACAGGATTTTTGACAATCTAAACAGCTTGTACACAAATATAAATACTTATTTATACTGTGTTTTTGTAAAAATTACAGGGAAAATATTACATCAGCAATTATTTTATTACCCTTTAAAT